TATATATAAACTTCACGACATTTACACTCTGTTTCATAGCAAAAAATCCCAAGTGACATTTACGCAATTGATGACGGAGAAGTAGCAACAGTTCTGTGTCCTTGCTTTCGACACATCAACCGTAGCTGACCGAGTCTGTGTCTGGTTGTACTTTAGGTTGTAAACAATCAATGCAAAGATACAAATTGTCTCAAGTTTGGTTGTAAATGTTTATGTCGTAAACAATCAATGCAATGATACAAACTGTGCCATCAAATCAACACAGGGATCACAAGGTACCGGTTGGCAACAACTCCACAGACAATCACGGGACATGCTTCCACTCAGTCACCAGTTCAAAACAAACTTTGAGAAAACATTTTCAAATGACTAAAGATTTTTTAGTTTTAGCAGAGGGTTTACGGCGCTCCCAACTGCATAAGGTCATACGAGCGCCAAGACTGACTAAAGATTACCAAAAAAGTTGTTTCAGGTAGCGGTAATGAGAGACACCAATACAATATATACAAAAAAACATGCATCACAACTTGGGCGTCTATTTCTTTTTCTTGAGCTGTTCAAATCTCCGCGTTAAATCGTCAAAGTCGACGTCCTCCCCGCCCGCAGAGTCGCCCCCGACAGAGTGGCCAAGGTCAGGGAGAGTGTTGCTGGGAACGGCCGGCAGGTCTGGGAACATGTCATCTCCTGGAGACAGAAAGGACAAACATTTCTTGGCATTCTGTGATAAATGACAACTCTTGGCATTCTGTGATAAATGACAACTCTTGTCATTCTGTGATAAATACAACTCTTGTCATTCTGTGATAAATGACAACTCTTGGCATTCTGTGATAAATACAACTCTTGTCATTCTGTGATAAATACAATTCTTGTCATGACAACTCTTGACGGCACTTGCAACACAATTAGGTCATATAAGTGCCGAAGATTAGAGGCGTTACAAGAGAGTAACATACACAAAAAAGGAGGAGAGATAAAGGCAATAGTAGTTTGATAGGAAAGAAGGAGCAAACCACACCAGAGCACCCACCAACCACCAACTACATCTTCTGTCATGACATGTTCAACTCTCGTTATTCTGTGACAAATACGACTCTAGTCAGAACAAATAAAACTCTTGAAAATAATTCCCTTTTTACACTGGGTCGGCCAGAAGAGAAACTCACCTCCGGGGGGAGGAGCAGACGCGGCGGAGACACTGGGGCCCGGCGGATGGGCCGGTTTCACGCTGAGGTTGTTGTCGTACAGCTGGTCAAAGCTGGGTGGGGCCGGGGGCGCGGAGTGGGCACCTGCCGCGTAGGGAGGGGGGGTCGGGTACGGTGTGAACGATCCCCCTGCTCCGTGCGGACCCTGGTTGGGAAGTGGTGGGGGCGCGCCTGTCATGGCGGTCGGGACACTTCCTGCGGGGACAGACCCTGGGTACGCCTGCAACAAACATCAGTAGTCACAATGTTAATCATCATTATAATCATAATAATATTATTATCATAGTAATAACATCATTGAATTGGTCAGGTAACACGATCGTGTGGCCTATCCCAGACCATTCTACAGGGAACTGACAATCTTATTCTCACAGCACAAACAATGACGATACACACATCACATTATCACCTCAGAGTACTAGGAATAAGAAGGACTTAACAATCAAGATAGCATTTCATAAAGTACACTTTTAGACGACTTTAACATTTGGCCTCTGACATATATCCCTCAAATGTTGAAGGAGAAATAAACTCTCTCACTGGCACCCTTCGACCACCCGCAAACTCTCTCTCTTGGGCTCCCTGTGGTCTGGTTCACATAGCAGTATCTCTGACAACTGGCTACATACTGCGTACCACAACAAACAACAAGTGTCCCAGTAGTCAAACAACAAGTGTCCCAGTAGTCAGACAACAAGTGTCCCAGTAGTAAGACAACAGACAACAAGTGTCCCAGTAGTCAGACAACAAGTGTCCCAGTAGTCAGACAACAAGTGTCCCAGTAGTCAGACAACAGACAACAAGTGTCCCGGTAGTCATACAACAAACAACAAGTGTCCCAGTAGTCAGACAACAAGTGTCCCAGTAGTCAGA